AATAGAGATGATAGAAAGAGAATGGATGCCTTTGAGCTGTGGTGCTGGAGAAGAGTGTTGAATATACCATGGACTGCTCGGAGAACGAATAGGTTTGTCCTGGAGAGGGTGAAGCCAGAATGCTCCTTGGAGTCAAGGATTCTGAAGCTTCGTCTGACATACTTTGGACACGTTGCAAGGAGGGACTGGTCCTTGGAGAGGGACGTCATGTTTGGGAGAGTGGAGAGATGGCAGAGGAGAGGAAGGCCCGCGATGAGAAGGATCGATTCTGTGAGTGGAGTGGTGGGAATGAGTGTGTTTGAGACGGTGAGGTTGGCACAGGATAGAACGGTGTTTAGGGCTCTTGTACATACGATCACTCTGAGTCGTAAACGACTCGATGGCACATAACAACAACAAGACAACACCAATTTCTGATTACACTATTTCTGTGGTTCACAAGTCCAACACAGCATAGCTAGGATCTCAGCTTTCAGCTCAGAGTCTGGTTCTACTGGAAGTATCAATGGGGGGCTAAGCTTCTAGCACAGGAGAGCCTACCCAATCTCATTGTTGGAAGAAATCAATTACATGCAGCCGCAGGACTAATGTCCCTGTTTCCTGGCTGGATGTCAGCTGGATGCTGCTTTTTGGTGTTTTTTTTTTTTTTTCTCACAAGCCTCCTGTATTTCTTCTCATGTGTCCCCTCTGTCCTCAAGCCAACAGGACACATGAAGTCTTTCTCAAATTTTTAATCTCTAGCTCTTTCCCTGTATTTGCTTTTAAGGATTCCATTTAGGGGCTCTAGAGGCAGAATGCATAACATGTTGGGCTGCTAATCAAAAGGTTGATGGTTCAAAACCACTAGCTGCTTCTCAGGAGAAGGATGGATAGCCTCCTCTTGTGAAGATCCACATCTCCAGAGTAGAAATGAAGACTTTCAGATAGCTTACAAGCACATGAGTAAATGTTCAAAATCCCTAGTTCTAAGAGAGATGCAAATTATCCTAACCTCTACACTATAATAGACAAAGTGCTAGTCTATAGGCCTTTTAGTGTAAGAACCACCTTCCCTCTGTAACTTGATTTGTGCCACTATTAGAACCTCTACTCAGAATATTATTGCTTTTTAATTTTTGACTCATGTACTTTTAACTTGTTAGTTAAATTTGTATCTTCTAGGCTGCAACACTTCCATGATACATCTTCAAGGATATGAACATGTACGGCTAAGCACAATTAATAACAGTGCATCTAAATTCCAAAATCAATCTCCATAATAGTCTATGTGTTTCCTACTGCCAAAGGGGCCCTTTAGAGTAGTGAGAGAAGATCTTCACCCTGAAACCCACAGCATCCCTTTTCAGCAGGAAGTAGCTAAGAGAATACGCCATCCCCTTTTCCTTATGAATCAGGGTGAAGTCTCTCTCAGGGAGGAGTGATAGGGAATGGCAAAGGACACACTAACAAAGGAGATTAATCAGAACTGGCTTAGACAAGCACTGTGGCAATTGGACAATTAAAACAGATATTCGGGCTGGGGAAGAAGAACAAACTGGGGAGGAGGGTAGAGAAAACAGTGCAACAATGAATGAATGAAAACCCAAAATCTCTGTAAGTGTTCACTAAAACTAACAAAATTTAATAATAATTTTAAAAAAAACAACAACTATGAGATATCATCTCACCCCAGTTAAAATAGCAAAATTTAACAGAACAGCAAGCAAAAAAAAATGCTGGCAAGGTTGTGGAGAAACTGGAACCCTGATTCACTGTTGGTGGGAGTGTAAAATGGTGTGACCACTGTGGAAGGCGGTATGGCGCTTTCTCAAAAAGTTGCAAATAGAGATACCATTTGACCCAGCAATTCCACTACTGGGAATATATTTCAAAGAGACCATAACTGACATCCAAGCAGATATATGCACACCCATGTTTATCACGGCTTTGTTCACAATAGCAAGGAGTTGGAAATAACCTAAGTGCCCATCAACAAGTGAATGGATAGAGAAGCTGTGGTATAGTTGCACGATGGAATACTATGCTGCACTGAAAAACAAGGAACCCATGCAATATTATTCAAATGGGTGAGCCTGGAGGACATTATGCTGAGTGAAGTATCTCAGTCCAAAAAGGACAAATACTGTGTGGTGTCACTTTTGTAAAACAGGACTGACCTCAGGGTTGGGGAGATACTGAGAAAGATGGGTTCAATAACGTATATACACTGCATTGAAACAGATGAGGGAGAAAACTGTTTCAAAGGGATATGTGATTAGGTATTTTTGTCATGACAGGATTCCAGAGTGAAGGCTGCATAGTGGAGTGGACCTGGGGGAGGGTTTGTAAAACAATGAAAGAATTTTTTCTTTTACTTTTCCAAGAGGATAGTGTGTTAGGGGGCAGGGTCGGGAGGGGAGAAAAGTGAAACAATGAATGAATGGAAATCCAAAGTCTCTGTAAATTTTCATTGAAATTAATAATAAATTTTTTTTAAAGTCTTTATCCCAAATTCTACGGATTTTGTCAATTGCTGATGGGCAGCTGCCATCCCAAGACCGTTCCATCATCTTGGCATTTTCTTTCCGGTCATTCTGTCACCTTCTCGCCCATTTCTTTTTCTTTCTAGCTTTCCTTCCTTGCTATGTTCCATTGGTTTGTTTTCTCTCTCCCTTTCTTCAGCTATGAGCATGGCATAAGTATGACTTTCATTGTACTTGGGAATGTTTTGGAGGAATAGTCTAACATCGAACTAAAACGGATGTAAGCATATACTTTACTTTTACTTCATATCTCAATATGGGTTGTTGGGGTTTTTGTTTTTTTTTCATTTCAAATTCTATGATGCATTTTAGGGAGCTCTGGTGGCCTAGTGGCAAGAAGCTGTGCTGTAAACCTAAAGGTACGCAGTTCAAATCCACCAGCTGCTCTATGGGAGAAAAGTAGGCAATCTCATCCTGTGCAATTAACTGCCTCTGAAAACCCACCAGAGGGTCAGCTATGGGTCTATTCTAACTCAATGGTACACAATAATCACAAGGAAGTGGGTTTTTGTTGTTTAACTTTACATTTACAGTGATTAAGGACTCTCAGGAAGTTGCAGCAAGAGAGTCTTATTGCCATTTCTCTAGCATTGATAGCATATGTCATATGGTTAATAGGTGCCTGGTGAACTACTCACACAGGCTCACAACCCAGAAAGTCCTAAGGGGCAGTTCTAGTCCATTATGTGTAGTTACCTGGAAATTGTTAAATTGAAAATTTACATGACTAAATTTACACAGTTAAATTGAAAATGTACTCTACTGAACCCAAGAGTAATGCTAACAAAACCAAGAAATTGATATGAATACTGATCTTCACAATTGTCATGCATCAGAGAGGTGGACATGACTAAAGGTGACAGAAGAAGAATCGATGCCTTCGAATTGTGATGCTGGA